GAGGTGAGAGTCAATAGATTTTATAACAAAGACGTAATTACCAGTTATTGACAGACATGGGATTGTGGGGAAAAAATCCTAGATAATATGGTCCGTGCATCAATGATCAATTTTAAGAAGTCCGTTTCATATCCCTGTGTTATCCTTAAAGTCCGTTTCCACGAACTTGACAAAATATCAATTCAACTTCGTACAAGACAACATCAAAATGTTGCATCTTAACCATAGTTGTAGTGAAAATGAGCCCAGCAACATGTGGGAACAAGTACAAGAAGGATTCATATATAGAATGATACAGGATGAATGGTGAACAAAACTCAAAGGAAAGGCAAATCCAACATATGGAACAAAATACACGCTTGCAATCCTTGTGAGAAAATCAGAGTGCACAGGGATGCTGGTGTCAATACAAAACTAGTAATGAAGATGTTAGAAGTGATTCTGAAGCAGAAAATTGCAGATGTAAAACAGGTGCGACCAAAAGCTCCTGATTCAGCCAATTAGGCTTAAACTTAAATTGACATGCCGGATCACAAATTTCCCATCAACAAGGGATAAAGTGAAAAAATAAAAAATTTGTTACACAGGCACCTCTATTCCATTTTTACATGTACATGCAGCAAAGCCCTAATTCTAAATCTTGAATTCTTGATGAAAAACAATTAACATCAATTCATCATAAACAAACAATCACATCAAGTTCCAAGACTTACAGACAAAAGCTCCTTAAAAACTATATTTTCCAAGAAAAACAGATATAAGTTATTCGAATTCCTTACGATAAGCAACTGAAACAAGTTCTTGCTAATGGTAAGAAAGGAGATTATATGCGTTGCCAACCACTCTTTTTCTATCCATATCAGCATTTTGTATAGAGGTTATTATCTCATATTTATAACCATCGATAATTCCCCAAAATCTTTCTGTATCAAGAAATTCGTAAAAATTCCCAACTCACAACCTTTAAACAAAAACCCACAAAACCTATTAACAGTAAAGACCCCCAACACCGTTCCCGATGGTTCACAACCAAAATTAAACACCATCAAAATCTCCATTGCTAAAAAAATTTAAACGCAAAAAATAAAAAAATTATACATATAACAATGTTAACAATAATTGGTACCAATGGCTGTGTTAAGATGATCATTCCTTCGGCGCTTGCGGTTTCCGGCCCAACCGGAAAGGCTCTCGTCCGGGTCGGGCTTGGATCCAGTTGAATCGGGTTGTATCTGGATCCGGAGAATTCGATCCGAAAAGTTGACATCATTGAACGCGAATGTAAAGTCCAGGGCCGAGTCCGACGACCCACGGCCTGACGAGCAGATGGAGTCCATTAACTTTATTCGAGAATTAAACAGGTCCACTTTTGCAATTCTTGTATATATCCCTATAATTAAAATTGCATATACCACTTTTTCAATTCTTGGTTACATTTATGTTTTTTCATTTGTTTTTATTCTTACAAAGAACAAACAAACAAAAAAAATTGCCTATTCAGTTTATTTTGGAGAAAATTGCAGCATTGGTGTCCAATATATTGTCTTATTATCAAGTTGGTCTTTATCCTTTAAAAAATAGAAAGTTGCTCCCAAACGTTTCATCATGTAAGTCCAATCCATTAAAGCACGAAGTGTCCAATTTCAAGATAATCATGT